TTGAATGAGGTCAGTAGGACCTACTTGGGCTTTGTTTAGGTAACCTGATGATTAGCAGGTGCCCACTTATCACTGATATATGCCCCAACAAAATCTAAATCCAACTCTTAACCAATGTTCAATCCAACTTCCAATCAACCATCAATCAAATTTCAATCACATTCCAACCCATCCCGCAATCTACACCTTCAATCAATTCCTAAATGACTTCTAATTGGTCAAATTAGGTCAAGTCAAATCTATTCACTACCTGCATTCAAATCAAAATTTTCAACTAATTAAGATCATTTCAATGTGTAACTCAAACACCCTTCAATATGTTTTGAGTCAACTCATGCATGGTTTAGATTGGTCAAGCCATTAAAGATGGTCAAACCTCATTATAAATGGGTTCGTTTGCAAAACACCAAGACTATCAATTTGAATCTTTGACAAACTATCCCACCAAAAACTTTACATCACTTTGACTTTACCTCAACACGGTTTGACTAGTTGACTGGTCAAAACTAGAAAACAAAGTCTTTAAACAAGCTCTTTGGTCAATCCCCATTCAAGTATCCATACCATGCTTTCGTGTGAGTATAAAATCATTTTAGATATTCTTTGGATCCATCTGGACTCCAACTTAGCTTCTTTGTCCGCCTTGACTTGTCAAAGGGTTATCAATGAATAAGGATAACTTCTTTGGTCAAAGCTCTTTCTCCCAAAGCTTCGTAATCCAAAACTCCACTCCAGCTCATCCAGCTTGACCCAGTATTAGTTCAAAACCTTTTCAAGCATCCTATGACCTAAGCTAGACCCATAGTTTAGCCTAGATTAGTAGTGCGCCCCTATTTTATTCTATCTCCCCCCCCCCCCCCCCCCCATGCTTGAGAATGACCTCATGTCATTTTCACCTAAGGTAGAGTGCTTATCAAAATTAGAACCCCTCCTCAATTTCCCTTACACCTCTTCTCTCTACCCCTCTATTGATACATGGAAACCTTTATTTTGGTTCCACCACTACCTTTCTTCTCACCATTGTGTATGCTGCTAACTCTCCAACTGACAGATCCCCTTTGTGGCAATAGCTTTCGACCCTGGCTAACTCCATTACTACCCCCAGGATTATCACGGGGGATTTTAATTTCTACAAAGATTTCAAAGATAAATTGGGTGGTGCTCACACTCATTTTAGTAAGCTGGGTGAGCTAAATGGGTGGATGTTCAACTCTGATACTATTGATCTCAACTCGATTGGCTTAAAGTATACTTGGTTTAATGGTCGAGTGGATGACCCAATTCACATCAAGCTTGATTGAATGGTGGTTGATTAGAAATGGTTGGAATATTTTCCTCTTTCTTACTATAAGGTGGCTCCTCCTTTATGCTCTGACCATTCCACATTGCTGCTTAAATCGGGTCACTACTCTATCTCTCCTGGTAGATTTCAGTTTAAAAATTATTGGATATGGATGAATGGTTTTTGGGATATTCTTTTTTCTTTTTTTTGCTTCTTTTAATGATGGTAGCCCTATTTTCAATTTATATGTGAATCTTAGGGCTCTTAAAGGCCTATTAAAGTAGAAAAAGTGGGCTAATGATCATTTCCTTAAAGTTCGACTAGAGGATTTTTTACACAAACAAAAGGTCTGCTTTGATCTTATTCAACAAAACCCAATGGACTACTCCTTAAATGTCTCTTTAAAATACATTAATCTTAACATATCCTTATATCAGAAGGCTTGGAATTCTTGGATTGTCCAAAGAGCTAAGGCTAAATGGCTTCAAAATGAGGAAGACGATTTGGGCTTTCTTTATGCCCGTATCAAAACTAGAACCAATTCTTCTCGGATTAAAGAAATTACCACTGATGAGGGGCACTTCTCTACTCCTCCTGATATTGCTAATGTTATTGTTGAACACTTTAGAAAGCTTTATAATCTCCATGTTTCTGGTGGCATTTCTGAGAACATTTTTCCTATTGGGGAGACTATTCTCACCAATTTCCTGACCTCTCTTATAGCTCCTATAACTGATAAATAGATCAAAGATGTTGTTTTTTTCGTCCCTTCCTCCTCTTCTCCATGACCAAACAGTTTTACTTTTTGAGTTTTACAAGGGGACTTGGGATATTATTGGACTTTATGTGATTAATATATGTTGTTAAAAATTTCTTCTCTGTTGGGCACCTACCAAAATGTGCTAAAGCTACGGCCATCACCTTGATCCCCAAACACCACCATGCCTCAAATATTTCTGATTATCGACCAATTTCTCTTTCCAATGTCTTTTATAAGACTATTGAAAAATTTTTGGCTAACCAGCTTAAAGTCATCATGCCTCTTATCATCCACATAAGTCAAGCGGGCTTCATTTCTAAGAGAATTTCCATTGATAACATTATTTTGGCCAATGAGATTTTAAACTACTTTAATGGCTCTTACCAGAGGAAATATTTTTGCGCGAAGCTAGATATTCGTAAAGCTTTTGATTCTGTCTCTTGGGATTTCCTGCTTTCTAGGCTTAGGCATAAGGGCTTTCCGGACAAATTCATATCTTGAATTAAGTGCTATATTTATGAGGTTCCCTTCTAGATTTGCATCAATGGGGCTCTTGAGGGGTTTTTCTTCTCCTTCATCGACCTTAGGCAGGGCTGCCCCCTCTCTCCCCTTTTATTTGTTGTTGTCATGGACGCTTTCTCTTGCACTTTGGATTATGGTGTTTTCTTGGGGATTCCTTATGGCCTAAACTCCCTTAGCCACCTTCTTTATGCCGATGATATTCTTATATTTGGGATTGCTTCTCTTACTAATGCTCTTCAGTTAGCTGAACACTTACAGAATTTTGCCATTGGGTCGGGCCTTCACATCAACAACTCTAAATGCTCCATTTTGTTTTTGTATCATGCTTTAGTGGAGGGCAAGAAACTACATCTCATTGCATGGCATAATACCACCTTACCAATATGCTTTGGAGGTTTGGGGATCCCTGATTTCCATTCTTTATCACATGAGTTTGGTTGTTCTTTTATCTGGAGACTTTATAATTCTGATTCTATGGCTGCTGAATGGGTTAGACTTAAATACACCTCCCCTTGGAGGCCCAACCACCCATCTTCTTCTAAGTTATGGAAGTTCATTCAAGAGGTGGCTGTTAAAATTAAAGGAAGTATTTATTTTAGGGTGACTGCTTTGAATTGTAGGCTTTCTATGATTTAGGATCGTTGGGTGGGGAGAAATTCTATTTCTGACCTATTTCCCCTATTCCCCCTTTATCTGGCCTTGATGGTCTCATTAAGACTATATGGGGGGGATTAAAACTATTTGGGGGGGGGGGGGGTGTTGGTGTTGGTGCTTTCCTGACTTCCTTCCCGTATGGGTTAGACAGATTATCTAGTGCACCCCTATTTCTGTTTCTTCATCTGCTGTTCATCATTAGACGGGCTACACCAATCTTATTTTTTAAAATTTTAGACTTCATTTTTTTAATGATATGACTAAAGTGGAGTGGTCTAAATTCATCTGGCATAAGAGATCGTCTCTTAGATTCTCATCTTACACATGGCTTTTGATTCGCAATGGGCTTAAATTGGCTGATGTGTTTGCCAAGAGAAACATTATTATACACTCTACTTGTCCTCTTTGTATGATTGATGAGGAGAATAGCAACCATATGTTTTTTCTTTGCGACTACTCCTTTGCGGTTTTAAGTCATCTTCTGTCTGTGTTGCACTGCTTTCTGTTTCGGCCCACCATGATGCAGGTTTTTCAATTTTTGGAGGATTTGGGGGATTACAACAGTAAGGCAAAATATTTCTGTTATTTCATGATTTGCTGTGCTATCTACTATATTTGGAGGGAACGCAACGATAGACGGTTTGCTGGATTAAAATCATCATCCACTGTGTTATGCAGCAAAATGGTTATTTCTATTTCTTCTAAGGTGGCTAAGTGGAAAAATGTTGAATTGCTCAAAATTTCTTTTCTGAGGTTCTTTAACCGAGTTTTGCTGGCTTTCTGGTTGATGTCGGTCTAGGACAATGATGTCCAGAACCTGCTATGCCCAATGCTCTCTTTGGATGGCAAATTGTTCCTGCTTGCTGGCGGTATTTCTCTTGGAATGGCATCTTGATACACCCAGTTCTTCTGCCCCTGCTTTCATCACTTGGCAACTAGGGAGGCTACGTGCGTTTGATCAGTTTGGTGGACAAGTTGATTGTGCTGATGCTTTGCTTGTTTAATAGCAGGTTTCATTTTCTTGAGTACCATCGATTAAGTTATTTTTGTCTCTCATTTCCTCGGGTTTTGATAGATTTTCTTTGATTTTGTAATTGGTTATTGGTTGTGGGCTTTTGTTTGTTTTGTTAGGCTCTTTTTATTGGTCTCTAATTTTTTGGTATATTAATATAAGGGCCTTGCCCTAAATTTTCCCAATAAAAAAGAAATCTTGCAGTTAGGTAGCCCATAAATGAGAATTTAATAAGAAACTCCAGAACAAATTTTTTTCAAATAAATAGTTTTGTGGTCGGTGGGAACGGGGTTTGAATCAACTGGAACCTGAACACTTTCAGAGCCGCCATGCTTTCGGTTGTGTCATGTGTGTGTGAGAGGAGCAATTATTACATCCTCTGACCGGACGTAGAGCTACCTTCGGCCACCAATAACATGTCGCCACGTGTTCTTACTCTTTACCACGCGGCCCGACGACTTGACCCGTAGCGGAACCCGAAAGTTCGCGATTTTCTCGGTATTGATCAGTATTTGGTAGGTATTGCTTTCAGCTGGAACTACAACTCGCTATTTGCTCAGGATTTGCTCGGTAGTTGTACCGAGTTTTTCTACAACTCGGTATTTGCTCAGGATTTGATCGGTATTGCTAGAAAAAACTCGTTACTCGGTAGAGAGAGAGAGAGAGAGAGAGAGAGAGAGGGTTGGGGTCCACACGAAACGAGCTGCTTCGTTTCATTTTCCTATAGATTCCTTGGCTCTTTATATGGAGATCTAAGTCGCCATGTGGAAGGGCAGGCAAAGAGGCAGCTTGACAGTGAAGACTTCTTATGGTCTTCACTCTACAAAATATTAGGTAAGGAAGTGAAGATAAGATATTTGTGTGTGTAAGAAAGAGAGAAAAATATGAAAGGTGGAGAAGGGAAGATGGACAGGAAAACTGTGGAGAAGCTCAGACGAATGCAAATGAAAGCTCTTTGCTTAAAGCTTGCAAACCTCATCCCACAAGATTATCTTTCTAAGGTATTTATACAATTATTCATTCATTCTGTTCATCAACTGGTCCTCTCCATCTTTCCCCTCACCCAATACACACTGTGTAGATCTTTACCCCTAACCTGCTCCTAAAATTTTGGAGCTCTAATGCTCTTAATAATCCTTTGAGATGTTCAGATATTAGTTGTATTTGAAGGGAAGGGGAGATATTAGGTTTTTATATGTGCATCTGATAGTCATGGAAAAGGAGGTTTTAAGGTCCATTTTTTTTATCTCTACAGCTAGCATAATCGGATTTTTAACAAGGAGAAATTTTTATCAAAATATTATGGATCAGAAGAATGTTGCTGTAAACCCTAAATTTACTGGCTTTAAGGAGATGCAACTCGTGCCTAATCTTTGTATTTGTTTCTTGAAGGAGAACAAAGGAAAGCTAATTTCAGGGAGAACCACTACCTCTCCACTACTTGAGAAATAATGATTCTTTATACCAAATATTTCTAAAGTGTATTTAACTAAAGTTAGGAAAAAAATCGGTCCGGATATCTGATCTAATTTTTTTGTCTTGTCAACTGTGGAACTTATCGATTATGCACGACTCGAAAATACGCCCCAAAATGCATAATGTATGATCTAAACTATTTTAAAAAACAGTTTGTATAAAAATATTATATTGTTTTGTTATTACTATTTTTTCCATAATAATAATAATTTAAATAGCATATTTTTTAATTTATTGTTTGATTCTAGAGTTTATAATTGTTTTATGAGTTTACTAATTGTATTTTATTTTTTTTAACTTTTTTCTTAATTTATTTTATTTATATTTTACATTATGTATTAAAATATCAATATGAGATGATACCTAATAATAAAAAATATATATGAAATTACTATTTTTTTTCTTTTAATTTCTTCACTGGCCTACAGGCTGATGCAAATTATTTTATTATTATTTTTTTCTTCGTTGAATATAACGACATTAAACAAATGACTTGGCTAGCACGTGTTACATGCGTCCAAGCGAATCTAACTCATTATATTTGATGTTCAGATCCGGTGGGTGCAATATCGTCAGCTTTATTTCGGTCAACCACCCCTTTTAAAATATATGTAAATTCTAAATTAACTCGAAGCTCTTCCTATATAATATTCAGGAAAATACTTCACAACAAGACCACTTAGATCGAGCTGCTGCATACATACACAACCTGACACAACGGATTCAGAAACTGAAGCACAGGAAGGAATTAGGGATATGCAATTATATGGAAAGCGATACAGAAATCGAAGATTCAACCAAGTTAGAGTTCAAGTTCCCAGTAGTTGAAGTCAGGCATCAGGACCAAAATTTGGAGGTTCTTCTCATCACTGGTTTGAAGAAGAAGTTTGCCTTACATGAGGTCATTGGCATTTTAGAGGAAGGAGGAGCAGATGTGGTCAATGCTAGCTTCTCAATTGTCGGAAACAAGATCATCCACACAATTCATTGCCAGGTAAAATAATATATCATCGACATATAAACTTGAACTTGTATCTTTGACTGTGACTTATAAGAATGGTTTGATCCTTTGCAGGCTATTTCGTCTAGAATTGGGTTGGAAGCTTCAAGGGTGTCTGAAATGCTCCAGCAATTGATGAGATGATCAGTTTATATTTTATTGGAAAAATTTATAATCAGAATACCTTGATAAAAAAATTTAAATAGATTTTAAGATGAGTGTGATATGTAGATAGTTAATATTATATTTATCTTAAAATAAATTTAAAATTTTGTGATTCATTCTGCTTATTTTTTTAATCAAATATTCTGATATTAAAAGTTCCCTATTTTTATAGTGAAATAGGAGGCTTTGTGAACCTAGGTAAGAAACTAATGGAATGGGATATGGTTTTTTTTGTATATGACTCAAGTAGTATTGGTTGATATCCAGGATCATTCTTGTGGTGATTAGAGCAATCATGTTTGGATATTAATTTCCGTATCCCTTCTGTGTCTTTATTATATATCAAAAGGCGTTATTTGAAAATATTGTTCTCTATAGAAATTCCTCTTGAGGGCTAGTATGTTTGTCATGAATTGGTAGTTACCTATGAAGCATCTATAAAGACATTTATGAGTATTCATTTAGTTCCACAATTAACTCGACTTATTAATAGACGAGTGGAAAAAAAGACAATGAATGAAATTAAATGCGACTATCAGATGCAAAAAGAGAAACAAATGTAAAATTACATCCTTATTTTTGCAGCAGCCTTAAAAATTATTTGACTTCACAATGATGATGTGACATCACCTTTCATTGGGCCCCCCTTATAAATTGGTGTGATTTCATACTGGGAGAATTTTAGTTCTAGTCTTAGCAATTTGAATGGTAGCGAGTGCACAAGATCGAATTTGACCCTATTGCATTATCTCTCTCCAGTGTGAAAGCATCGATGAAGGGCACCTTCTATATTGAGAGTGCTACGGGAACTTGGATAGAGAAGAAGGCAATATATACCATTGAGGCATCATTGAGCAAGGACATTAATTGCTCAACTGCTTCCTGGACTTGTTGAACTTGTCGCAGCATCACCTCTGATGAAAACTAGGATGTAAAATGGGGCAACTACTAAGATCATTGAGATGTCGATTATGGGGAATAGTGAAATAAGGCTTGACATAGCTGGGAGTGCGAGTCCTCTTATGGATGTTACCACGATAGTGAAGGAGAATGTGGAGACCTTGTTGTCATGAACGAAGAGGTGAGTCCAACGTAGGGGACCTCTGTTGGGAGGTGTAATGGTGGTGACCACTTCCATTTAAGAAGGTTTTAGTGTGCAAACATCACTTGCTGTGGTTGGTAAGAGAAAGAAAGATAACTTTAGTTACTTAAAAAATAGGTTTATTGCAAAAAGTTCCCCATCGTAAGAGAGCCAATAATTTGTCTTTCCTTGAGCAAGCTATTGCATTGTTTGTCATGTAGGTAGGAAATGAAGGCTCTAGAGTGATTGCTAACTTTCTAGTATTAATGGAGAGCCATTATGTGTGATCACCTTTTATAAATTCGCTTGAGCTGGCTTACTTGACTTAACTCCTGATGAAATTTTGATATTGACAACAAGGGCACCAACTGCTGAAGACACCAAGATTTGGAACTTATCGGATTGGCAGACTTAAATAATGCTACGGAGTTGGTAGTTACCAAATAGCAAATAGTCGTCAACGAGTAGGTTGTAGAAGGCAAGCTCGCAGTGGCGGTTTTAATAGTCAAGGTTGAGGCTGTCACTATAGGAAAAACAATTATTTTTGACAAACCAAATCTCTCAAAAATGAATGTTAGCCGTAAAAAAAATAGACTTCGCCGACAAATTCTTGATGAAAAATAGGTCAAAGGTAAAATGCACGTTGGAAATACGTTATCGATGGAAATAGGACCTCCAGTAATATTCTGTCATATTCACCGGTGGTTTTTAGTTGGAAATGTAGTCTAAAAAATGGCGGTTCCATATCCTTATTTTCGGTGGGATTTCCGCCAGAATTTTTAGCGGACTATATCTTCTTGAAATACCGGTGGTCAAGTTATCAATTATTTCTGCTGATATAACTAGCGGGTATCACCGAAGGAATGGCCACCAGAACTTCTAGCAACAATTCATCATATCGTTGTTACCAGCGAATAATCTGCCTGAAACTTATACTATAAATAAAAAAAATAGACCTTACTCTTAAATATTATACATTAGAACAATCATGCAAAACATACATATATCATACGCACTTTTCAACTTTGAAAAGAAATACTAATGCTATATGTAATAAGACATTTGATAACAAAAATATATACTTCAATTACCAAATAAATCTAAAATAAACATCAAGTTCATTACACAATAAAAATAGACCATAAAATTTTTAAACATATAGTAATACAATTTCCAGTAATAACAAGAAGTCTAATCAGAATCAGTTTCGTCATTTCCCTCCTTTGTCAATCCTGACCGCTTTCCACTGGACTGCTCCCTCGTTATCTGCAACTCCGCTAATATCTGACTTCTCTACATCTGCATCTGCATTTGTGTGTTAGTTTTATAAAATCCAAGATAATATTGATGGAAAACATTTTTTATAAAGCTTCTAACAAATACGAGAAGGCTTCAGGTGAATCTCATACTCTACTAAGTCCCTAACTGAATTTTGACTCCTTGGGCAAGGTTATAGTCTCAACCTCGAAAAGACGGTAATGGTGTAAAGATAGACCGATATTCACCTTTGATTTAGGATATGCATGGCATTCACCCCCTCCCAATTAAGGTATAATCAACTCTAGGAGATTCAATTTGACCTCTTTTATATAGGTTAACGCGATCGAACAATACTCTGATAAATAATCTCGTATAAGTCAAATACTTTTGATGGATTTCTTCCAATATTTTCCATATAGGTTAATGTCATTAAGTAACACTTAGACAAACAATTTCAGATATATCAAAAATCCTTGGTGGATTTCTCCAAATTAAAGTTAATACCATCGAGTAATGCATTAAGAAAATTCTTAAAAAGGCACGCTCATGAGGTAGCCTTGAAAAGAAACTAGTAGTGAATAATGCCCTCTTTAGAAAGAACTTATGAGCGCAAGAGGTAGATAGATTCTCCACACATAACCATGGGACGACATGCCCATAAGGTAGCCTCAATGGGAAGCAAGTAGTGGACATGATTCTCACTAGAAAGACTCCATATAAAAAAAATGGTTGACAGTGTATCCACTAATTCAAAAGTCTCAAAAAGTACAATCCTTAGAAAGGTTTATGATTATCTAAAAGCCTTTAAAGGCAAAATCCTTAGAAAGAACAAGTGTATATAAAACCTTGGAAGGTAAAATCCTCAAAAGGTAAATATACACCTAATACCTCAAAACGTGTAAGCCTTGTAAGGATTTAGTGTAACAATTCAAAAAATTGAAAATAATTGAAAATGGAAAATTTTGAATTCCCACTTAATTTGTAGTACAGTGAAGAGAAAGAGAGAAAGCTAATTTTTAGCGGCTAGATCACTTTTCTTCTTTTACAAAAATTGCTCAGATCACTATAGGTGATTTTGATCCTATCTTTATTTTCAAATATTTTGATTCTTATTATTTGATACTCTCCAGAACTAATTTATTGTTAATTTCCCAAATTCATTGAATTTTTACCACACAACTTTTTATATTTTATTATACTAATTATCATTAACAATTTGATTGTATTATTTATTGAATTTCACCAAGTAAAATTGAAGTTACTATATTTTATACTATTTCTATTGATTGAATAAATGATATTTTTACTATAAGTATATTGTTAATATAAACAATATAAATGGATGTGGGCAAGATAGTAGGCCGATAGACTTTTCTTTAAATAATGTGGTTTAATGTTATCCTCTACTAATTCACTAATACTGATTTAGAGTTATAAATTGATGATTATTTTGTTAATGAAAAAAGAGTGATTACTATATTTACTGAGCCAACAAGATACTGATACAAATTATTACTTATTGGAAAAATACTGCTTAAATAAGGATTTCATACTTATTTAGTATAACTACAAAAATGCATATTGTTGATTCATTGTTACTGTTCATATACAATTTTATTATTTTATGATTACAATTTATTGATTTAATTTCATAGTACAAATTTACTATTATTGCGATCTATTTTATTACAAACACTATATTGATACTAGTGTCGATACTACTATTGATTCATTGTACGTATTGATTAGTGATACTGATTCACTGTACAAATACTGAGCATGCAACGTATAAATCATGTGATTAAGATATAGGTATGATATGATATATATGCCATAAAGCTTTATGGGTCCCACAATTATTTTATCCCTTAAGTTTGAGGGGGTACATTTTATCAAACAATAAAAAGATAAAAAATTTATCGAGATACCACGGAATCACATACGAGATGGCAAATGGTTATACCACGACGAGGTGACAAATGACATTGGATGGCTATAATACAATGAGGCTATGAACGACAGTGATAAACCACATGAGATGACTCACGAAAATGAGAGCGATGAATGGGTGGAAGGGAGAAATTACGGGCAGATGACCGTGAAAAGCTGGAAGTTGTGCTTCCTTTGGAAGAATCGCAAGTGGATTTTCTACCAAAAATATTTCCAGCTACTATTCCACCAAGAAGAAGTGTCAGATTTAAGTAAGCCAGTGGATATTCCATCAGGACATTTTCGACACATTGTTTACCGGCAAATTTTGTCGTCTTAAAAGAACCAGCATCCTGCACAATAGATATGAAAGTTCATATTGGTTGTTAAACCTTATTGAATTGTCCCAAGGCTAATCAAGAGGGGGGTAAATTTGTTATAAAAAAATAAATTTCTTTGATTTTTTAAAACCTTTGTAGATCTTCTAGAAAAGTAAATCATTAATCCTGAAATATGTAGTTGATTATAGAATTGATTATCATAAAGAATTTTTCAACAATAAAAATTTTAAATGCAAATAATAAAAATGTAGGAGAAATTAAAGACAACATAAGAACACCAAATTTTATAGTGGTTCAATTCAACTTGACCTATATCCAATCCAGAGAGACTTCTTGTACAAGTATTGTACTAAACAATAGTGACTCTCCTTTTGCCCCTATATCAAGGCAACAAATTCCTTACAAACTCTCTTCCACTAACCCAATGCGGTAGAGAACCATATCTTTTTACACTCTTTAAGTGATGGTAGAGTACTATCACGTCCTTTTTCACCCTCCTGATGAAGGCAGAGAACGGTCTTCTTTTATAATCTCCAAGTGATGGCAATGTACCGTCATGTTTTTTTTTCACCCTCCTGGTGAAGACAAAGTACCTAGATCCAATCTTGAATATCTTCTCTCACGAGCCTCCAAACAAAGTGGGTATAAACTTGAAGAAGACGAATATATTCTCACTTTGAGCAACCTTGAGAATCATTTACAACTCCTCTTCACTAGATCTCTCACTCTTCACTCACAAAATTTCTCCCAAA